GGGGGGAGGGCGGGAGGGAGTAGCTGGCTTTGGAATGAAAATTCACATATTAAGTATAAATGAACGTCCAAATCCGTGTCTGTGACACATATATCTTGTTTTTAAACTTTGGAAAAATTATTGGTCAGAACAAATTAGGGTCCCTGAAGACTGAAAAATTTTGCTGTGGCCAACAGCTGTTTGAAAAGTTTTAAGTGGAATTATATTTTGGATCAGCTTAGATATAAGAGAGTTATTTCTAGGTTCCACAGTCGACTGGAGCAGATGAAGTAATTGCGAAGTTGGTGGCATTGGATAGAGATTCTGGCGACAACGGAAAAATCTCGTATTCTGTGGTGGAATCTTACGAAATGTTCCACTTGGATAGCAATGATGGTGAGACCGAAAAATTCCAGATTGAATTTGATCCAGTTTAGATCCGCAGGGAAAAAATTTTGAGGTGTTATTTTTTTACGATTTTCAAAGCATTTGTCTTTTTGGTTTGTACTTTAAAAAAGAAAAATTAGTTCATATGAATTGATTTCTAGGAACTCTTACTCTGACATCTCCGCTCCCTTCCGATGCTGAATATCTGCTTACCGTAACAGCAAGTGATCATGGGCTACCGTCACTTTCTACATCTATTCCAGTAAGGGTCAAAGCCTCACTAGACGAAGCCCAACAGCGCCCGCAGTTCCCAACCACTGCTTACGAGTAAGTTGTAAAAATTTATTGGCTTGGGAGAGACTTTGTCTCAAGCTTTGAAAAACGGCAAAACTTACGAATTTCGCATAAAAACTTGCCTGTTTAGCTTCCTGGTGTCGGAATCTTGGACTCTTCACATCCCATTCGGCAATGTTTCCATTGGCAACGAACCGTACTTCTACCGTATCTTGGACTCAAAGGCTGCTGAAGTGTTTGATATCGATAACTTTGGTCGAATGTCACTGAAGACTGCTCTGGATAGGGAAACTAAAGACCAGTATAGCTTTATCGTGAGTAATTCTTTTCTGACATTGAGCTCCAAATAGGATCATTGACCCCATTTTTAGGTCGATGTTGGCACTCATCCAGTTACTTACCATCAAAATTCCACTGCTGCCGTAACCATTCGAGTGACCGACACCAATGACAACTCGCCCGTCTTCAGTCCTTTGAGCTCAGAAGTAACTCTCCGAGATGGACTGAAGAGTGGAGAAGTGCTGCAAAGATTTGTCGCCACCGATGCAGATGATGGCGAAAACGGTCGCGTTAGCTATCGTATCCTTTCCGGGAATGATTACGGTATCTTCTCTATTGGATCGGACACTGGCGCGTTGATGTTTAATCAATGGGATGACGAACAGCTTGTGCGACATAACGATGGAAAGTGGGCATTGTATATTGAAGCTAGGGACCATGGATCGGAGCCAAGGTTTGTCTTAGGTTTCTTATCTTTCAAAAAGCCTGGTTAAACTATGCCCATTCTAGATCAGCGGTACTGCCTGTGCAGGTTTCACTCCAGCTGCAAACCTGGTCAGGTTCGGCACCTTTCTTCGTAATTCCCGCCTACGTTGTGCCAATTCTGGAAACAACCAGCAGAGACACTGTCGTCTTCACAGCCCATGCTACCAATCGCTTCGGGATTCCCATGAAAGTGCGATATGATTTAAAGGATAATGACCAGGTATGCTTCCGAAACTAAAGAGGAAGATATAAGAGCATACTTTAAATGAATACAATA